CCCCATGGAAAACTGAGCATCTCTGTGATTTAGAGAGGTTTGATTTAATATTGGTGTCCTTGAATCAAATGAATTATTGTGCCACCTGAATGATAAAATCTTGTAACAACAAACCCATTAATGTGACAGTGAAAAACTCTTTGTTATGGAGAATTCAAACAAAATCTTGGCTATTGCACAGGGACTTTCAAAGGCTAAATTTATTTGTGAGCATTAATTTTTCATAACAAGATTTTCCTTCAAATTTATTTCTGAATGTCAAAAACAACTTATGAACATGAAGGAATTTTTCTGGTGCACCGAAGAAAGGGGTTCACAAATAAAATGGATCCCTGCATAAGAAAGATAATCTGTTCCAGGAATCACTATCCTGTTTAATGTGAAACTGATTTTGCCCAATGTCTATAATACCTGCATTGTGAGAAAGAGATAGTTTATGTGTTTGAGACACTCAAGAAACATTCTTGAAAAACTTTGAAAAAAAAACCTGCGCATTTCAGCAAGTTATTAGTATATGATTCGAAGTTGAAGATTGATGGACTCCTGGCAATATCAAGCTCTCATTTGAAAGTAAATCAGAAATGGTAGGTATTATGAGAACTGAATAGAAAACTGCACAAGTTTCCATTTTTTAGTATTTTCTTGTATTAAAAATGGTTGAAATTCAAATCCAGAACTTCTCTGGATTTTATGCATTTATTGCCATGAAAATCGACAGGAAATTTTCATATTGAATAATTTTTTGCGTGGAACATTTTTTTTTTCAATATTCCAGGGCCCTTATTATGATACCAACTTCCACTTGAAGCAAAATACATTTCAGCATTTGGAGAATGTATGCCTTTATTTCTGGCTAAAATGTGTATGCAAAATTTATTATTTTTTTACAGGCGTGAATAATGAGGTAGTGGCGAGGAATTGGACTTGGCGCTCATTTGACCCAGCCCTGGGTTAGTCATTTGCTGTCCCACCCACGACAGCATCCTCTCACCCACCCCTGCGGGCTGTTGCATGGATGTTGAAGCTGTGCAGTTTCTGAACAGCGCGGGTTTTGCAGTGACGTACTTGTGCTCCTTGGTTCCAGGTGAGAGAGAGAGAGGAAGAAAGAACCCCTTTGGGTTTTATTCTCCAAATCCCTCCAAGTATGGAAAAAAATAATTAAAAACAAATGTTACCTTTGCTGGTGGTGGAAGAGAAATCGTCGTCTTCGTGTTGAAAGCGAATCTTTATTTTATTTTTTGCGAAATTCCAGAAAAGAAGGGGACTTTTGACCTTGATGATGCTACCCGGGAATTTGGTGCTAGATTTTTTCTTTGGTCTGTGGAAGCGAGTCGGTTGAAGGAAAATGACTTCTGAGAAGGTGAGTTTGATTGATGAATCTTGGTATATGTTCTATTTCTATACATGTTTTCGCAGAGCCAATTTTTTTCTCGAAAGTCGCTCAATTTTTCTGCTCTTGACAAGAGAGAGAGGAAGGAAAGGAAAAAGGCTTCTCTATTATTGGCATACTGAAGGAAACCAGCCATAGATAGTAAATATTTCTAATTCAGCTAAGTTGATGCAGTTTTGACGAACCAGAAACAATCTTGACGAATCTTCGAAATAACCGAGTTTAAATTTTCGAATACAGTACGTAAATTAACGTTGCGTTAATGCAGAGGAATAACTCATTTTTTCAACTGTGAAAATTGCGTATTCTTGATTGTTGGTATTTTAAATTTTGGCGTTATTTTTCCTCACTGTGAACCTACTTCAACTGAGGAATTTCAATGCACGTTATTGCTAAGGTGCGAGAAATTCAATTAAAATTTGCATTTTAGTAGTGGAGCAACGCACCTGGGATGGCTTGGAATTTTTCTCCCTTATATGTTTTTAATTAATTCATCTTTGGGTCCCCGAAGTTATTATTCATAAATATCCAAAACCCGCTTTGGAATTAATTAGACTTTGAACCAAGCTACTATTCTTGAATTTATGAGGAATATTTCAAGTGCACATGTTTTAATTTGGCAATTTCTTTCTCGTGATTTGAGAGTCTAGGATAACTTTTCCACATCTACTATCATTATGAAACAAATTTTCAAAAATATTTTCTCTGAAAAGATTTTCGAATTATCATTTCTAGCATTTGAAACGGCTTATTTACATCCCTGAAATTCCTACATTTCCCAAGTGACATCTATAATTCCTTCAAGACATTTTTTGTTGTTGCTCATTGTACAACATTTTTCAACTTTTTTTCTATGAATGTATGATTGACAAGCTGTATAGTGAATTTTATTCAGGCTTTGAAATCATATGAAATTACTCAAATGAATGTGGATGAATTATAGCCAGTCCTTACAGAAACTAGACCTTCTGCAAAGGTATACTGAAGTGACATCTATCTGCAAAAAGGCACTTCTTTACCCTCTGCACGAGTCTCAGGAACTTTTTTTTGCTCATGCTTGATTTACAACTTGTATAGTGAAATTTTTCAGGATTTGAAAAAATATAGAATCTCTCGAATTGATGAATGTTGATGAATTACCCATTTCTTGTAAAATTGTCAAAGGAGAAACTAGACCTTCAGGAAAGTTACATTGAAGTGACATCTATCAGCAGAATGGCACTTTTTGACCCACTGGACAAGTCTGATGAATTTTTCCTTGTATATGTTTGATTTGGTATCTGTCAATTTTCATTCAGACTGTGAGACCGTGTAGGAAATCTTTCGGATCAATGATGCTGATGATTTAAATTTTTTGATTTACAGGATGAAAGTGAGGATGCCCCGCAGCCAGAATACAACTGGACAGGGATCGTCATATCAGCCCTGGTCATCACGGTCATCCTGAGTCTGGTGGTCATTTCAACCATCATGTTGACCCCGACTGGAGAAGGTCATAATGCCACTGACATCACCTTGTCCATGTTTTTGTCTGGGGACCTGGACCCGAGGCTCTTCAATGGCACTTGGCTTTCCAGTGGGTTTCTAGATACCGTATACTGTATTTTAAAATACAGTATGTACAGGGTATAGGTGGATTATCTCTGCAACAAAATTCAAGGACCAGAAAGGAAATTTATAATTGTAGAGAACCCCTGTAACATGGGGAGAGTATACTCTGTGGCAGTGTTACCAAACCCATGGTTTATTGTTGACCAGCAACAGACCTCAGAAGTTTTTTGCCAGTCCATGGGAAATTTTCTCCAGCATAATGTATTTTTCAAAAGTAGCAATGAGGTCTGTTATATTTATCTGACATTTTGGAAAGACAATGGCAGTTGAAATTATCTATTGGAAAATAAAAGTTGGCTTTTCTCCTGAGAACACTTCAGACAAATTTTCACCTGCTGAAATAGATTGTTTTTTTTTCTTTGAGAAAAAAATTTCTTCAAACCCACCTTTCTAATTTTTGAAGACATTCCACTATAGCTGCTTCATTGGTTCTTAACTTAGCTTTTGCAAAAAGCAGAAACTTTTGATATACCTGCCATGGAGTCTTTCAAATAAAACTTTTCTGAGTCTCTGAGATTTTATGAAACTTTGCCAGTCTGCAAACAATTTTATAGAAGTTTGCCAGTCCATAGGCCCAAGAATATTTGGAAACACTGCTCTATGATAGTGAAGAAAACATCATTATGAAGAGAAATTTGTTATAGACAAGATGTTTGTTGAGATAGTCCACCTGTATCTATGTATTTTTAATCCAGATATTTCTTATCTGGGTAAACAGAAATATTTTAGCTCAAATTATGTATTTTATTCTCTGAATGTATTAAAATTGTTGATTTTCAATTGTTGTAAAAATGTATTCATGTGAGAAGCTCTGTGATCAAAGTGAAGGGAGTCTGTGGTTTCAAATGGATTTATTTCTATTTGAGATACCTCTGAAAATTTTGTCTCCATGGAGGGTTTCATCACATTTTGCTTGATATCTGAGTTAAATTTCAAGTGCACAGTAATTTTTTTTTATTTGGTATAAAATTTGATGGGCTTCAAAGAGAAAGAATATGTTGCTTTACCTGGTTAAACTTGTGTGAAGCTATTAAATCTGAAATCCGAGTATCAATGTTTTTTATGGGTTATATTGCAATATAATTTTTTTTCAGGTACCCAGTTCGTCTTCAAGACAGAAGAAGGTGGGATTAATTTGTTTGACGTGAATACGCTTTGGAGTTCTGTGCTGGTCCCCAGTCGTGTTATGGTGAGTTTTGTATTGAATTTTTTTTTTAATGAAATCACTGAAAACGTTGAAATTTCACTTTTTTTTTTCTAAGGCGTGGCACAACCCAAAGGAATACGTTGTTTCACCGGATGCTTCCGACGTGCTGTTCATCTCTGAAATCAAACAACTCACATATCGCGGAAAGGAAGCTAAATATCTGGTCTATCACATTGATTCGGAGTAAGATATTCCTGAGAGCTTCTTTCTTGAAAATCACTTTCGAAAATGATGAAAAGCTTGATTAGTTTATAGTGTATCACATCACTTTGAAGGAATGAGGTTCACTTGCCAAAATTAAATTTCTGATATTAACATGTTCTCAAAAGTGCTTTGAAATATTTCTGCCTCTTCAAAAATTCAGTTCAGTATCCAACTTTGTCAATCTGCATTCAGCCAATGAGAAATTCCACAGTTGATATAAAAATTTGAGACAATTCAGAAAAATGAATTTTTATGCACAAAAAATTATTCTTGGCAAATGATTATGATGAAGCTCCTGGAATATTGGAAATCAATCCCGTATCTGAGCAACCCTCCAGAAAGTTTTACGCCTTTTTCATCTATATTTTGTCTTGAAAAATGCTGAAAAAATCCAGAAAAAATACCACATGCCTGAAACATCATGAAGGAAATTTTAAAATTTCTATTACGATTTTTTAGATAATTGAAATATTTATTCCCGCGCGGAATTGGGTCAACCCAGATATTAAAACATGCACTACTGTAAGTAAAAAAAAAACTGTCATTTATTGAAAATTAATTTTTTTTTGTATTTTCTGACAAATTTCAGTCGCACGCATCCAGTTTCCCCTCCACCGCATCCCCACCCGCATTCAGCAGACAAGGACAAGATTCAAAGACTGCAATTTGCCACTTGGACCAGGTTTTCGCGGAAGCCATTTTCAGGCGGCAAAAACTCGAAATTCAGCAACTCCGTGTCAGACGGCAACAGCGATCAGCTGCCTATAGTGTCTGCTGGTGCTGCTGGGGGCCCATCAGAACCCATCAACAGCGGGTCTCCGCACGGGAACGGACTCGTTTTCGTGCACAAAAATGACGTTTACTTTAAGCCGTCTGCGAGGCACAGGACTGTGGAACGGATCACCACTGATGGAGTCCCTGGTGTGGTGTACAATGGTGTCCCTGATCTGGCCCTTGAGGGTTAGTGTATTTTTCAAGCAACGTGTGTAATCCCTTTTGTTGAAAGCTGACCCAAAAAAAAAATTCTTTCTCTTTGAACGAGACGCATTAGAAAAATGTTTGTTATTTTTGGTTACGTGTACCGTTGAAGCTGGCCCAAATGTCTTTCCCTTAGCACGAGGATTTGGCCCATAAATCAGAGACATTATTTGTAATGATAAAAATTGTTTGCGTATTTTTGGTGACGCACATGATTTGTGTTGAAGCTGGCCCAAATGCCATCTTTTATTGCGCGATGATGTGTATATTACCTAAATGGAACATTATTCAAAATTCTAGAAATTCCAAATGTAATTTTTGCTGCTGATTTGGCCTTTGAGGGTTTGTGCATATGGAAGGATATGAGAAAAAATGTCGTGTAACGTATTTTTCGTGATGTGAATCATTTTTGTTGAAGCTGGCCCGAATTCCACTTCAAGTGCTGAGAATTTTAATTTTGAGGTGGAAACTTTAGAATGGTGTTCCAGATCTGGCCTTTGAAGGTGTTCATATAGTGAAGGATGTATAAAAAATTTCATGTAACGTATCTTAGTGACGTCCTTTTTTCTTAAAGCTGGCCCAAATGTCTCCCTTGGAACAGGGATATGGCCCACATCAGAAACATTCAGTATCTACAATGTGTGATTGGATGTTGTCTTAAAAAAAGTCTTCTTCTCAATACGTTGCCAGAAATGTAGAGACTCATTTTTGAAATCTTTAATTGGTCAATTAATACCAGCAATGTTGGAAGTTTGAATTTAATCTTACAGAAATGGTAACTGCAAGTCAAATTCAATTGTTCATTTCAAGTTATATTTCTGTTTGCTGTGTCAGTCAATTAAAACCCAAGTCTATTTATTGTGTCTTGAATTAGGGTTGACAGCTTGGTGAAAATGAATGCAGAGAAGGTTTTGACAAGATACCAAAATAATGTGTGGTCCTTTTTTTATGTGTGCAGAAAACATCTTCACTGGAGGACATGCCATTTGGGTGTCACCTGAAGGCAAGAAGATGGTGTTTGCCAAATTCAATGACAGTGGCTTGCCTGAGGTTCTTGCGCCCACTTACTCTTCACGGTCCTGGTCTCCAAAAGAAGCTGGAGACATTATTGGGAAAGACCAACAACAGCAACCCTTGCCTCAGGAAATCTCTGGGGGAAAGGTTTTCAGGATGCCCAAGGTCAGCTTTTTATTCCTGCACCTCTCATCTGAATTGACTTTTGAATCTTGAGAGTATTCAAGAAATAAAAAAATTGAAAGCTTGGGCTAAGGTTCATGTAATTTGAAAACATAGAGGGCGCCACATGTATATTATTGAATAAATTCAAGTGTGAAGTGTACTGGCAGAAATTCATGAATCCTTTCCTAAAATTGAGTATCAAAAATGTTTTGAGTAATTTTTAAGAAAGTTTAAGTGCTGGGACTGAATTTATTATTCTGGCTAAAAATGCTGATACTGTATATTTTTTCAGGCTGGGTCTTCAGTTCCTGAAGTGACTCTCTGGATTGCTGATTTGACAAAACCTGTGAAGAAAGCACAAGTCATGGTTCGACCACCTATTGGATTTCAAAATGCGTGGGTTTTGAGAATTTCTGAAAGTGCCGAATTTGTTTTGAATATTTTGTCAAGTTATTCTCTTTTTTTCCTGTTTTGCAGAAGTGATTTTCCAACCTCAGTTTCGTGGGTTGATGAATCAAAAGTTTCTGTTGTGTGGACTANTGACAAATTTCAGTCGCACGCATCCAGTTTCCCCTCCACCGCATCCCCACCCGCATTCAGCAGACAAGGACAAGATTCAAAGACTGCAATTTGCCACTTGGACCAGGTTTTCGCGGAAGCCATTTTCAGGCGGCAAAAACTCGAAATTCAGCAACTCCGTGTCAGACGGCAACAGCGATCAGCTGCCTATAGTGTCTGCTGGTGCTGCTGGGGGCCCATCAGAACCCATCAACAGCGGGTCTCCGCACGGGAACGGACTCGTTTTCGTGCACAAAAATGACGTTTACTTTAAGCCGTCTGCGAGGCACAGGACTGTGGAACGGATCACCACTGATGGAGTCCCTGGTGTGGTGTACAATGGTGTCCCTGATCTGGCCCTTGAGGGTTAGTGTATTTTTTACGCGACGTGTGTAATCCCTTTTTTTGAAAGCTGACCCAAAAAAAAAGTCTTTCTCTTTGAACGAGACGCATTAGAAAAATGTTTTGTATTTTTGGTTACGTGTAACCTTGAAGCTGGCCCAAATGTCTTTCCCTTAGCGCGAGGATTTGGCCCATAAATCAGAGACATTATTTGTAATAATAAAAAATTGTCATTATTTGTGTTGAAGCTGGCCCAAATGCCATCTTTTATTGCGCGATGATGGGTATATTATCTAAATGGAACAATACTCAAAATTCTAGAAATTCCAAATGTAATTTTTGCTGCTGATTTGGCCTTTGAGGGTTTGTGCATATGGAAGGATATGAGGAAAAATGTCGTGTAACGTATTTTTGGTGATGTGAATCATTTTTGTTGAAGCTGGCCCGAATTCCACTTCAAGTGCTGAGAATTTTAATTTATAGGTGGAAATTTTAAAATGGTGTTCCAGATCTGGCCTTTGAAGGATTTCATATAGTGAAGGATGTATAAAAAATGTCATGTAACGTATCTTAGTGACGTCCTTTTTTCTTTAAGCTGGCCCAAATGTCTCTCTTGGAACAGGGATATGGCCCACATCAGAAACATTCAGTATCTACAATGTGTGATTGGATGTTGTCTTAAAAAAAGTCTTCTTCTCAATACGTTGCCAGAAATGTAGAGACTAATTTTTTAAATCTTTAATTGGTCAATTAATACCAGCAATGTTGGAAGTTTGAATTTAACCTTGCAGAAATGGTAACTGCAAGTCAAATGCAAATGTTTATTTCAAGTTATATTTCTGTGTGCTGTGTCAGTCAAATAAAACCAAAGTCTATTTATTGTGTCTTGAATTAGGGTTGACAGCTTGGTAAAATGAATGCAGAGAAGGTTTTGACAAGATACCAAAATAATGTGTGGTCCTTTTTTTATGTGTGCAGAAAACATCTTCACTGGAGGACACGCCATTTGGGTGTCACCTGAAGGCAAGAAGATGGTGTTTGCCAAATTCAATGACAGTGGCTTGCCTGAGGTTCTTGCACCCACTTACTCTTCACGGTCCTGGTCTCCAAAAGAAGCTGGAGACATTATTGGGAAAGACCAACAACAGCAACCCTTGCCTCAGGAAATCTCTGGGGGAAAGGTTTTCAGGATGCCCAAGGTCAGCTTTTTATTCCTGCACCTCTCATCTGAATTGACTTTTGAATCTTGAGAGTATTCAAGAAATAAAAAAATTGAAAGCTTGGGCTAAGGTTCATGTAATTTGAAAACATAGAGGGCGCCACATGTATATTATTGAATAAATTCAAGTGTGAAGTGTACTGGCAGAAATTCATGAATCCTTTCCTAAAATTGAGTATCAAAAATGTTTTGAGTAATTTTTAAGAAAGTTTAAGTGCTGGGACTGAATTTATTATTCTGGCTAAAAATGCTGATACTGTATATTTTTTCAGGCTGGGTCTTCAGTTCCTGAAGTGACTCTCTGGATTGCTGATTTGACAAAACCTGTGAAGAAAGCACAAGTCATGGTTCGACCACCTATTGGATTTCAAAATGCGTGGGTTTTGAGAATTTCTGAAAGTGCCGAATTTGTTTTGAATATTTTGTCAAGTTATTCTCTTTTTTTCCTGTTTTGCAGAAGTGATTTTCCAACCTCAGTTTCGTGGGTTGATGAATCAAAAGTTTCTGTTGTGTGGACTAACAGAAGACGAGACCATGCAATTCTGTCTTTGTGTGAAGCCAAGAGCAACTGGCATTGCAAGACGGTTTGTTTCTTTCTATACTGTATTTCAATATTGCTCAATATATGCTTTTAATTTATGTTTTCATGTGTCTCGTTTCTGGAAAAGGATGGAAAGAATTTTTTAGAGCAAAATTTCCATCAGTTGTTCTCTCAAAACCAATTTACTTACCCGAATTTCATTAGAGAGAAGACTGAGCATTTCATAAATGTGAAGAAATAAGCTTTTACAATCAAAATTGTATAGTTCATGCATTTGCTGGCAGTTCATCAGGTGCCACTGAATATTTCAAATCTTCTTGGTGGCAGTATCCTAGATTTGCAGGGCAACCATTTTTAAATGAACAAAGTGTTCTAATCTTCTGAATCCCTTTTTCCTAGTGAAATTACATGTAAAATTTTGACCTGATGTGTCAAATTTTGATCCAAAAGTTTGCCTTGTTGAAGAAAATTCTGAGAAACAATATTAGGACAAGAGACTTCTCCTAATTTTGTTTTTTATTTCACTGGATTTTGACTGAAAAACTTTGGTGCCAACACCAAGCCAAAAACTTTATTGCAATTCACTGAACAGATGTTTCCCTGTACTTTACAGTACTGTATTTTTATTTTATTTTTATCATTCCTGTGACAGGTGTTTACTGAGAAGAACAAGGCAGGAGGAAGTGCTTGGATTGGAGGCAACCCACTTTATTCCATTGATGGTAAACATGCAGTGTTTCTGTCTGCCAAGCCTCTGTGGGGCATCAAGCAGATCAGGATTGCTGAGCTGAGTTCAACTGATGGAGGGGAACAGAAATCAGACTTGCCAAGAGACTTTGACTTTGATTTCTTCAGTTTTGAGCCTACTGAACTGCTGGGATGGGATGAGAAGGAGAACTTCATGTGGGTATCTTTTTTTCCTGTTTGGTTTCATATTTATTGCTAATTATTTGAAATGTGACATGATGGATAATAATTCTTAAACATTTGCAAATTTAAAAAAAAAAAACGATTTATTTATGAGGTTTTCTAGCACTTTTCTGAGATGAAGGAAACTTGACAATATTTCAGAAGCACGTAAAATGTAGACTTTATATTTTACTGTAATTATTTTATCAAGATGCTCACCTAGATTTTTCAGCTGGAAATTTTGGATTAAAACCTATTTCAAAGTTAGATGTGCTCCCCATTTTAGTAATGGAAAAATTGCAATCTTTTTAAGATGAGAAAGATCACAAATTGAATACAGTATTGACTTGAATGAGGCTTTGATTTGCTTATTGTAATTTTTTTGGAATTTTTCTATTGAAATATAGTATGGAGTGCACCTAAACTTCTGCAATTAAAAAAATGTGAACTTGTCTAATAAAACAAATTTGGAATTTTACCTCCAAAAGATTGCTGATGCAATTTTCCCAAACATTTGCATTCTAACAAAATTTTAGATGAATTTTCATTTCCAAATATAGTCAATTATGTAACTTTCCTGAGCAGTGAGGTACTCAAAAAAAAAGCCACAAGTCTTTTCTCATATTTCTAGCAAGAATATTCAACATATTCATTTCTGCAATTCATGTGTTTGGATGGAGCTTGATGCTTATGCCATTTCATTCCTTCAAATGCAGCTTATTTATGGCAAAGATGAATGGATCACAGCGCCATCTGATGTCCATGGGAGACCATAGTGCAGACTTTGGTCAAGTCTTGAAAGTATACTGCATCACATGTGACTTGGCTCTCAATGAGACTGAATCTTCCTCACCATTCTACAGGCATCAATGCCTTGCTTTTAGAGCCTGGCTCAGTCCTTCCCTTGGTAAGAATTTGAAAAAAATTGAGCATGATTATTAGTTGACAACTTCACAAGTTGTGAATAAAACTGGTCAACACTCATTTATTCACAATGAACCCTTCCTGTTGTCAAAGTCCCAACATAAAATCCATCATTGCCTAAATTTCAATTTGTAGAAACACATACACAGAAAAATTGATTTTAATCACAAATATTTTGATCCAACTCATTCTCAACCTGAAAATAATCAAATTAATGTCTTTCCAAGTCTTTCTGTAATTATTTAGTGTGAATAACATGTGTGAGAACTGCTGAGTTGTTGGGGTTTGATGTAAATATTAATTTGGAGATTATTCATGGTTCCATCATTGCCTAAAGTTCAATGTCTGGAACCACCTAAACTGCAAAATTTATTTGTAATTGAAAATATTGAAGCAAAGCTCCTTCTAAACCTGAAGATGATATATCATTCCAAGTCTTTCTGTTTAGAATTTTTTGGTGTGAATACCTTGTGTGAAAACTGCTCAGTTTTTGAGGCTTGATAAAAATATTAATTTTGAGATTCATGCTTCTGAAATCTCTTGGCACACATCTGCACAAATGTTAATATGTACATTATTTATTGCAGGTCATTATGTTTTGGAATGTGCTGGTCCCAGGATTCCTTGGGCTTGGTTGTTTGCATCTCCTGGTCATGAGCCCATTGTGGCTCTAGACACAAATTCAGACATGACTGCTGCCACTGAGGACCTGACAATGCCTGAATTCATGAAGTACAAGATAGAGTTTTCAGATGGATTCACTGATAAGATCCCTTTGATCTTGCCTCATGGGATCCACCCACGCTACACCTTTGACACTGAAATCAAATATCCCATTGTGATTCAAATGTGAGTGTATAACAGTGTGTAATTTTGTACAATTTGGAGATTAAGTGGCTTCTGTCAATGAATTTTTGCAGGGGAGCAGCTCCTGGATACAACAAAGATGATACCCATGAGTGGGTTATGCACTGGGGAATGTCTTTGGCTTCTTCCAAGGACATGATTTATGCTTTGATCCAGGTGGAAACGGATCCTCCAGTGGATGGACAACCCAAGGAAACCACTTTGGGCAGGTTCAATTTGAATAGGCAGTTGGAAGCAGTCAAGATTCTCTTGACAGAGTTGCCAATTGTGAACCAGTCCATGGTTTTGGTCTGGGGTTGGGGTGAGGGTGGGTACTTGGCTCTGGAAGCCATGGCTGAGATGGTGGATCCAGTGATCAGGTGTGGGATTGCTGTTGCTCCCATCACTTCTTGGAATCATGTCAGTGAGTATCTTCTGACAAATTTTAAAAAACGTTTATTTTTCTTTCCAGAGAGGAAAAACAGTAAGGAAGATGGTTCTAAAGTGTTGTCCCTTTACTATGCTCTGCTTCAAAATTGAAGTTTCTGAGGCAAAGTTGTCCATGCCAAAGTTCCACAACCTGTGATTAAGTGCTGGTCTGCAGAAGTTTTTTGTGGATCCATGGGAAATTTTCTTCAGTATATTAAATTTATGAAAAGTAGCAGTAAAGTCTGTTATCTTTATCTGAAAGTTTTGGAAAGAGATTGGCAGTTGAAATTATCTGATTAAAAATGACAGTTGGCTTTTCTCCTAAGAGCACTTCAGACAAATTCTCACCCACAAAATAAATTGTTTTAATTTTTCATTTTGAGAAACCTGTCTTCAAGCCCACATGTCTAATTTTTGAAGGCATTCTACTAAAGCTGCTTGATTATAGTTCTTGACTTGATTGTTGCAAAAAACAGGAGCTTTTTAAATACCTGCAATAAAGTCTTTAAAAAACTTTTTTTAGTCTGCAAAAATTGTATGAAACTTAGCTGGTTTGCAGAAAACTTTTTAGAATTTTGCCAATCAGTATAAAAAGTGTTGCCAGTCTGTGATGTGCTCAAAAAAGTTGGGGAACACGTGTCTATACCAAGCATGGGGTCTTGAAATGAATTTGAAAAAAAAGTTTTATATTTATCTTCTTTAATAGCAGACCTTTCTGCCTTTGTCAAAGGTGCTTGTGTTGAATTTCAAATGTATGTTCTGTAATAATATTTTTATGACTTTTCCTTTTTATTTACAGATTTGTTTCTGTCAGAAACATACTTGGGCGAGTACACAGCATTCTCAGCCAACTTGTACAACTCTTCCGGGTTATTACACAAAGGCAAAAGCTTTGGAGACAAGTACCTGCACTTGGTCACTGGAACACAGGATTCCAGGTTTCCTCTAGTACACTCCATGCTGTTCTCCAAGGCTCTCACTGCTGCTGACGTCATGTTTTCTCAGAGGGTAAGGAATTATTTATTACAGTAGTACAGTTTTATACTGTACATTGTAACAGAATTTTATTCATGATGCTGTAACAGAATTTTAATCATTATACTGTAACAGAATTTTATTTATTATACTGCAAGAGAATTTTATTCATTATTACAGAATTTTATTCATTATTAAATTTTTTTATTCAAACTTGTATACCTTATAACACATTCATTATAACGACTTTTTCCAAAGGTCTTGACGTGAACATCTTGAAAGTGATGTTATAACGAATTTTCCTGATTCTTTACGAAAAAAATTACTTTCGGGCGGTGATGGCTTAATCGTTATTTATTTACGATCTTAATTATTTATAAACTTCGACTCCGGTTTTTTTTCTTATCAGCGCCAAAAATTATACTCGAAACAAATCGCATATTACTGGTGCAGTATATTGTTTATTTTGTACTGAGGAAACTTCGTTGCTTTCGGTGATTAATTTGTTCCATAATTTTTGGCAAAAAAGTTGTAAATTTGCGAGATTATGTTCTGATGAGAACGAAAATATTTTGGATTTTTAATAAATTAATGCCCTTCTTTCAGAAAAACAAAATCCGAATTTATTTCATTAATTCCGTTGTGTGACAAATTTTTTAGAGGCCACTTCGAGGAAATTCGTTGTGGCAAAAATGTCACCTGTGTGTATGACATTGTGTTCTTTTGTGCGTGCAGATTTATCCGGATGAAGGTCACGGGATGACGGGAGTGACCCAGCATTTGTACGAGTCAATGGAGAAATTCCTCAGGGAGTGCCTTCATCCAGTGTCGGATCCGTTTGAAGAGCAGCGAGACATTCGCAAGTCGAGAGTGAAGATGCACAAAATGGGCAAGATTTCTTTGTCGGACGATGAAAAGCCTTGGAACAAGTTTGATCATTTCTAGGGATTATTTTAAATCCCGCATTTGTTCCCCGTTTTTTTTTTCTAAGTCATTTTCAAACTTGCCTCATCCCTGCATTTTTTTTAGTTGCACTAAATTTCTACAAGAAGGGAAAGGAAAAAGAAAAATTAAAATTTGAACCCATATATACTGTATATTCAATTTCAAAGAAATGCTGCCCTTGGAATGATAGGGTACTGTATGTTAAGGGGTGTTCTCACAGATTTTGTCTGTCTTTTGTTTCTATGTCATATGATGTGGGTGTAAAAGATTTTTCCAATAATTGTAACATTTGATCATTTTCTGGAAAATGCTGTACTTAGATTATCATGGTTTAAAACCCATGTCATTATTGCTATTTCATAAAAAATAAAGAAAGCTATTTCATGATTTTACAGAGTTACAGAAGTCTAGGCACATGCTCTCCAAGTTTTCCCTCAAAACTTTTGAAACATATTTTAAAAGGGAAATTTTCAAGGCCAAACATTCCTTTTCTCATTAGAAAAAAAAATTCTCTCAATATGAAAATACTTACTTTTATTATGCTGAGTATGAAGATTATGCAAAAATGTGAATTGCCAGGGCTGCAATTGAGGAAAATGGTCAAAAATTTAATAAAGATTAATTTCTAAAAGGTTTAAATTGTTATGAAATCACCATGCTGGAGTATTTGACTCAGAAACTTTATCCGAATTATGGACTTGACATGATTCTTGCCATTGTATGTACTATAAACTTTTTTTTTCTGTGGAGTTCTGTGATCTGGTACCAATCCTATAGGTGTCGCCCCTAAATAGTAATTGAAGCATAATCTTTTCTTGGTTGTGGCAGTTGAAACTTTTTTTTTTTGAATTTTGTTACCATTTCAGCAGCAATTGATATTTATCTCTCTTTTTTTTTTTGGAAGTTGAGGATGAAAATGTGGAGAGTCTTGTTTTTGCATCTTGGTGAAAGCTGTGATTTCGGTGTCAATCCTAGGTGTCATTCCAGAATACTCGCTTTGTGTTCTCGACGAATGTTGTGCGAAAAATTTTGCGAAAGCTTGTTTATTTATACCCGCCCTCCCCCCTCGTTTTTTTGCACGTGGACCAAAAAAAAAAAAAGAGTAGGAATTACTCAAAGTCTGCCTCACCTCGAAGCACTATTTAATACCAATTTGTGATCCCTTTCGGGAGGAGTTTTAGCGAAATTTTGTGATCCTTATAGAAGAGTTTTTAATCGAGTGTAGTTGATTCATCGGAAATGTTTTTAGGCAACGCGGAAAAAGGTGTTCCATATCTATAGAAACTTGAAATACTCTCGTTTCAGCTTGGATATATTGTTTGTGATTTTTTCCGGCTCCTGAAGTCGTGGCTTTTTTAAATGGCGAATTTCTCCCAATAACCGTAAGGTTTTGTTCTGTTTTTTTTTGCATATTATGGCGCAAAATCACAAGCAATGCCTGGGGAAAAAAAAATCCTGGAATAAAGAAAAAAAATCGAGCAATTTCATCAAAACAACTTTTTTCTTCTTCTTCACGCTGATTCACTTTTCAGGGAAACATTTTGAGCTGTGTAACACTGGACTAGTTTTCATTTTTAGTGAAATGATTGTTATAAAAAAATGTTAAAAGGAATTTAGTTTTTATGTTGACAGGTTTTGGGTCCAGGAGACTTGAGCCAGCCTGGACAGTGTTGCCATCCGGGCAACTGAGATCCTGCTTTGCTGCGCATGAGCTGCTGCAATGTTGAAGGAGCTGGAGTTGGAGAGTTCCAGGACCTGCTGGGAAAATATCCAAGGAGGCAGTGCTGGCAAGAGAGTCAGCAACAGGCACACCTGTGTTGTCAAAAGGAAAAGAAAAAAGCTTCCTGTAGTTTGCTTTTTTTTTGGACCTGATGAGAGAGGTATATTCAACTAAAATTTCATTTTCAAAATCTGCCTAATATCTTGAATTAGTGACTGTGTTTACACTAAAAATATTTCGTGTATCTAATTGATGACTAAGGTCCAAAAAATGTTGTGGCCCTGATATGTCAAAAATTATTTTTAATCCTTGAGAAAAATTTATTGTAAACCTCCCTATTTTAAAGACTTTCCCCCTCATACCTCTATAACTCAAATTTTAAGCAGCCTGCCAGGTAATATTCTGGGGACCCAGGAAGTACATTATCAAAAATCTAAAAAAAATTGTGAAATTTTGATTTTAAAAAGGAAGTGAAAGATCAATTTGGCAAATGTACCCTTGCCTCCAATTTCAGCATGTTTTCAACTCATTTTCCCATCTGTTCAAGAACCATTACATCTTCAATTCCACCAAAAATTGGTTGCAAAAGTTCACTGTTGAGGAATTCATGTTCAGTTTGACTCTCAACTAATTTAACGCGCTATTTTGAGGTTGGGAAGGTTTTAAAACTTATGCTGTTGGAGAGTTCCAGGACCTGCTGGGAAAATATCCAAGGAGGCAGTGCTGGCAAGAGAGTCAGCAACAGGCACACCTGTGTTGTCAAAAGGAAAAGAAAAAAGCTTCCTGTAGTTTGCTTTTTTTTTTGGACCTGATGAGAGAGGTATATTCAACTAAAATTTCATTTTCAAAATCTGCTTAATATCTTGAATTAGTGTCTGTGTTTACACTAAAATATTTCTTGTATCTAATTGATGGCTAAGGTCCAAAAAATGTTGTGGCCCTGATATGTCAAAAATTATTTTTAGTCCTTGAGAAAAATTTATTGTAAACCTCCCTATTTTGAAGACTTTCCCCTTCAAACCTCTATAACTCAAATTTTAAGCAGCCTCTTGGGTAATATTCTGGGAAGTACCCAGGAAGTACATTATCAATAATCTAAAAAATTGTAAAATTTTTATGTTAAAAAGGAAGTGAAAGATCAATTTGGCAAATGTACCCTTGCCTCCAATTTCAGCATGTTTTCAACTCATTTTCCCATCTGTTCAAGAACCATTACATCTTCAATTCCACCAAAAATTGGTTGCAAAAGTTCACTGTTGAGGAATTCATGTTCAGTTTGACTCTCAACTAATTTAACGCGCTATTTTGAGGTTGGGAAGGTTTTAAAACTTATGCACTAAAAAGCCAAAAAAGGCGCCATTTCCTCTTGTACAGTACAGTATATGTTACTTCTCAGGAAGGTATACAGTCAACCCCCGTCTAACGGACTTGATTCGTGTAAGGGACGAGTCTGTTAGACAAAAAGTCCTTTACACAAATTCAATTACATAAAAAATTAAAAATTTCAATTTTCAATGCTAATTTTAATGAATTCAATTACATAAAAAATTAAAAATTTCAATTTTCAATGCTAATTTTAAACCAAGAGAGGTCTGTTTGGCGGATTTTGTCTGTTGGGCAGGAGGGAAAACTGCTTGCAGAGCTGGTCTGTTCGGCAAAAATCCCTTACACGGGAGGTCTGTTTGGCGGGGGGCCACTGTAATTGGGACAGCATTCATATAATTTTTGGGACTCACCAGGAAGAACATGGAGTAGAAAGAGGATGAAGAGGTCTTGTGTACATGGATCCAGTGCTTTTCACCCATAGAAAGGGTACTGCTGGAACTTGTGTAGTGGGAAACCCTTTCCATACCCTGCTGATGGGTAGTATGGATAACCAGAGTAACCTCCATAGGGCACTTGAAGTTTGCCTGCTCCATACAATGGCACATGGGAAGGATACTGCTGATAACCACCAGACCCAAGCCCAGCTTGACCATACCAACTTCCAATTGGGATGTAAATGGGCTTGGTCACTGTCTTTGTGGTCTGGATGATGATGGGCTTGGGCACCACAACTGTCTTTGTCACTGGCACTGGGTATGGGATCAGTGAGATGCCTGATAGGGTTTCTCCATCATCATCAGCATCATCATCACCACCATGATGGTCATCATCAGTTCTTTGTGCTGTTGCCAAGGCTGTGGCAGCCAGGAGCCACACTACCATCACCTGTGAGAATCACTCCAAATATTCAGTTTCACTTCTCTCACTATATATCTATACTCAACCACTCCTTTTCTCTCACATTTTTTTCTAATTAACATTTTTATATTCAAGTAAGTGTCTTATTTGCATTTCCACTTAATAAAAGTGGGATTTTCAAAAATGTTATTGCTTTATTTTCCTGTAGATATTTGGGGGCACTTATCAGCAGAAGTATAGATCCAAAAATTAGAGTTGAGAGCAGTGAGGCCCTGTTATGTGGATACCCCAAATTCCTGATAATTTGACTTTACTTTAAATTCAAAAAAACTGCCCCAGACATCTGGACCATGTATTGAGATATGCTGGACACTTGGCCAAAATTTTCAGAAAAACAAAAATAGTGCTTATCAAAATTGGGATCCAATATCCCTGAAACAAAGTGAGTGAGCTACTGTCCTGTCCATTGGGTGAAAAAATATTGTGCATTGTAATGCTATATTGGCACAGGCTAATGTTTTGCTTCTCTTTTCCATCAGTACCTTTGTGAAATTTTGCAAAATGTGTGCTAGTCTTCTGCCATTATTCTGGATTCATTTTTGTGCTAAAAGAACATATTCTTTGTGGTTTTCTTTTGCACTATTATTTTCTGTTTTTTTTTTTTTTAAATTTAAGAGCATGAACATTTTGCCTTATTTAAAGTTTTGTTCAGCATAAGTGATATAAATTGTCACCATTTAAGTTCATGGAAGCATGTGATCCAGCATGTGGATTTTTCAACATATGGACACAGTTTCATAAGTACAGTATTGTAATACAGTAATATGTCTGAATCTCATTATTGGGACACCAGCACAGTAGATTGAACAGTATATCAAGTGCAGGATTTAGTAATTGAATCATTTTTCATATCAAGTGCAGCAGCAGTTTTTTAACTTTAGGGAAATCACTGATGAAGAACATTTGGGTCCATTTTAAGACACTAAAATCTTCCTTGCAAGATATTAGAAAAATATCACCAACACTGAAAATCACTTGAGTATGAGATGTGATGCACTGAAAAGTGGAAACTGTTCTTTTTTGTGTCTTAAAAATGCAGTATTTGCCTGAATTAATACTGGACTGAGGAAATATCCAATAGTCACCACTTTTATATTTTAAAAGAATTTTGAAATGAAAAGGAGGAAGTGAAGTCAGAAATCATTCTTGTACTGTGTATGTATTTCTTCAAGACTTGACAAACATTTTCTGTCACAAATTGTTTTTTTCATCTTCATTGTTGACAGTTTCCTTAAAATAATATTTCACTTGAGGAAAACTTTGATTTGAAATGCAGGGAAAAATCAGACACCACTCTTGCATATTTCACCTGGACTTCTTGACAAATATTTTCTGTCCAATTTTTTGTTTGTGATAGTTTTCTTGAAATAGTATTTCACTTGAGGAAAACTTTTGAGTTGAATGTGCAGGGAAAAATCAGACACCACTCTTGCATATTTCACCTGGACTTCTTGACAAACATTTTCTGTTACAATTTTTTTTCCTCTGGCAGTTTTCTTGTAATAGTATTTCACTTGAGGAAAACTTTTGAGTTGAATGTGCAGGGAAAAATCAGACACCACTTTTGCATATTTCACCTGGACTTCTTGACAAACATTTTCTGTCCCAATTTTTGTTTTTGGCAGTTTTCTTGAAATAGTATTTCACTTGAGGAAAACTTTTGAGTTGAATGTGCAGGGAAAAATCAGACACCACTTTTGCATATTTCACCTGGACTTCTTGACAAACATTTTCTGTCTAATTTTTTTTTCTTCTACATTTCAAACAAGGGGAATTTTTTGGATGCAACCAACAACTTCCTACTCAGCTGTTGAACTGAAGCAAAGTACTGCCGGAAGTTTCCCCCATATTTGAAGCCTGTGAGCTTCCCTGAGCAGCAATTTCGTGGTTTCTTCTCTCATGGTACTATTTCGCAATGCCTTGCAAGAATGAGGGAACGCTTGCTCACAGGAGGATCTGTCGCAACATGACNTTCTTCTACATTTCAAACAAGGGGAATTTTTTGGATGCAACCAACAACTTCCTACTCAGCTGTTGAACTGAAGCAAAGTACTGCCGGAAGTTTCCCCCATATTTGAAGCCTGTGAGCTTCCCTGAGCAGCAATTTCGTGGTTTCTTCTCTCATGGTACTATTTCGCAATGCCTTGCAAGAATGAGGGAACGCTTGCTCACAGGAGGATCTGTCGCAACATGACTGACACTGAAGGGAAGTTTTTGTTTATTTTTACCTCTTTTTTGTTATTCTTATTATTATAGAGAGATAAGAATATATATATATATATATATAAATATAATCGTGAGAGAACCATCAATGTTGGTAAAAAAAAAGATTACATATTACTGGCCGCGCGGACCCACCAAGTACTTCGTATTTAGAAGGTACTGAAATACGTATCAGCGAGGGGGATCTTAGTACTTTGTATCGTCTGTTCTTTTCTTCATGTACATATATTTTTATTCTGATTTTGCGTATGAGGAACAGGAAGCCCTTCTCGTACTACTACCAGTGTCGTACGCAATAAAAGAATTTAGGAAAGGGGTACCCTTCACAATAAAAAAATATTAAATATTAACTTCATATACGTACTTTGAGACACCGAAAACTGAAGTTCTCTACTTTTCAAGTTGTCCAAGAGCTGATGAGTAAAAATAAAATCATCATGGCTGCTTTATTAAAAAATAAATAAAAAAAATTAATATTTAATAGTTTAACAGCTGAGTAGGAAGTTGTTGGTTGCATCCAAAAAATTCCCCTTGTTTAAAATTATTAAAAAACATTTGTCAAATATTGAATTTTCTTTTTTTTTTACAATGGAAACCTGATTGATTGGTTCATTGTAAGAGCTGAGAGCAGTAGAATGCAACATGGCTGCCTCCATGATCACATATGTGATGACCATTTTTCAAAAGCCATGATTATACTTTTGATTTTTTTAATACAATATTTATTGTCCCCTGACTCTTATTTTTGCATTTGATTTTGAGAGTTTTGTTGTGTCCAAGAGCTGAACAGATTACAACATGGCTGCCTCCATGATATTGCATGAATGTCCTGCCTTTTTTTTTATAGAAACAAAGTTTGTTATTTTGTCTAATTTTGCACTTGAATCTAATTTTTTTGTCTGCTGCATTGAGCAGGAGCTTTATCAACAGTCCAACAGTTCAGCAGCAAACAAGATGTCTGCCTACAGCTGTGATCACATTTCTTTTGCACTTATGATCACAGCAGTTTTCAAAGATGTTTTGGCAATATTGAGCTGAGTATGATGAATATGGAGATGAAATATTTAACTGGAAAGGGGCACCTGTGACACAGATTCTTTGTTAGGTGTTGTGAGGTAGATGGTAGAAGGCATAGTTAAATGCAGAAAAAATGATTTTTGGAGTGATATGAAATTTTTTTCAAGTTTGTGCATCACCCAGCAAATCATGGGGTTTATGTATACCAAAATATTAGAAATGAAAAACACTGATGCAGGATTGAGACCCTACCATGGGAGAACCATGAGAGGAACTGGACCCAACATGAATGTAGAGTATATAATTCCCCTCACCAAATCCACCACTTTGTACTCACAAGGACAGGTTTCATGGTTTTTGTCCTTTTTGAACTGAAGATTCAGAGTAGATATATATATATATATATATATATATATATATATATATTCTGACACTATATCAAAAAATGCTTATTAGCTGTTGGTGACAAGACTGCTGCCCAGCAACTGAAGGTTACCCAGGTTTCTGATTCTGACCCAAGCTTAGGTTGCATCATTGTTATATTTTGCTTTTAGAAAATGTGGTTTTTTAGATTAATTTTTTAATCTACTAAATTTTTTTGTCTGCTGCATTGAGCAGGAGCTTTATCAACAGTCCAAGAGTTCAGCAGCAAACAAGATGTCTGCCTCCAGCTGTGATCACATTTCTTTTGCACTTATGATCACAGCAGTTTTCAAAGATGTTTTGGCATCATTGAGTTGTGTATGATGAATATGGAAATGAGATATTTAACTGGAAAGGGGCACCTGTGACACAGATTTTTTGTTAGGTGTTGTGAGGGAGATGGTAGAAGGCATAGTTAAATGCAGAAAAAATGATTTTTGGAGTGATTTGAATTTTGTACATCACCCAGCAAATCATGGGGTTTATATACAAAAATATTAGAACTGAAAAACACTGATGCAGGATTGAGAGACCCTACCATGGGAGAACCATGAGAGGAACTGGACCCAACATGAATGTAGTGTATATAATTCCCCTCACCAAATCCACCACTTTGTACTCACAAGGACAGGTTTCATGGTTTTTGTCCTTTTTGAACTGAAGATTCAAAGTAGATATATATATATATATATTCTGACACTATATCAAAAAATGCTTATTAGCTGTTGGTGACAAGACTGCTGCCCAGCAACTGAAGGTTACCCAGGTTTCTGATTCTGACCCAAGCTTAGGTTGCATCATATCTGGGTTGCACCAGAAGAAAAAAAAAAGGTCCCTGTGCGGTTGACAAGACTTTTATTTCCTCCTGTTTCAAAACTGGTTCTCAATTGCGTGACCTGATTCACCTACTTATTCTGCTTTGCTGCTCTCAGAACACTCTAAAAGTTCAGACTTTTAATAATGGTGATGTTCAGACTTTTGCCCCTTTGATTTATTGTGTAATGGAAAGGGGATTATTCAGGTTAACTTACTCGAGATGGCAAAACTTTTGCAGGTCTTATTGATATTCATGGTTTGTTTGTTCCAGGCATTTTGTGCACCTCTTCTGCAAGATGGGGTTGAAGGTATTTTAATGCAACCTGACTATATTTCATTTTTCTTTTGATCAGTAAATGAATATGTGTGTGTCTGAAAACAGCTGTGATTGAAGCTCCACCACTGGAAGAAAAAGCTAATGATGGGAAAATTCATCATCATGACTTGTCATCTCAGATTTCAGCTGTTTTCCCAGTGGATCCTGATGATCTAGAAGTTTCACTGCATAATCAAGATTCTCATGTGAGGACCAAAAGGCAATTGATGACTGATGCTGACTGGGTTGATGATGATGGCCAAGAGTTCCCTGAGGACCTTTTCCACTATTATATCAAGGGTGGTGAAGGTATATAATGATCACATATATGGAAATAAACTTAAATTTCCATGCTGTGTTTGTTTAATCATTCACTGTATGGCAACAATTTCATTACAGCACAAATACTTTGCCCATAAGAAATGAATAGACACTATATATTTAGTTACACAGTATATAAGCTCATACTTCACATGCTTGACAGTGACATCTATGATAGGAAAGTTGTGTCTGCACTTATTTAATTCCATCACAGCAATTTATAAATATAGAGTAAATATGTATGCTATAACCTCTGTGTTAATTTTCCTAGTAGCTTTTGTTATATTTTATGTTATTACAACAATTATAATAACACAACAATGACCCTAAAATTGCCACAATTTAAAATTACTTTAATTTTTGAGTCATTGTTCTTCCCCACCCTGACTTTGAAGTTTTTCTTCTTTTTCCATAAAATTAGGACCCAAATATGGCATAGAAACAGCCCCTGAACCTGCCACCAAGATGGAGTCCCTTGAGGAAGACTGGTTCTTGTCAGAGCTTGGTGAAAATGAAGAGTCAATGTGGCACAAAATGCCCAAAGACTCAAGCAGCTTGTCAGACCTGGATTTCACTGCCAACCTTGGCTCAAAGGTCATTAAGTGGCAAAAATATCCTAGAATTGAAATTTAGTCTTAACTTGCTTTTGTTATAGATCCCTGTACATGTGGTCACAAAGATTAATCAAGCAGTGAAACCAGTTTCTGATGCAACAGACCAGGAAGTTGCTCTTGAAGGAGCGGTTGCACCAGGGCTGGCAGATGTTCTGGCAACCGAGCAAAGCACTGATTGGCATAAACTGTTTAAAAAGATGCCCAAGGGAGAAGCATCATTGCATCCGTAATTAGAAAAAATTGGCCTTATGTGATGAGGTTTTGGATCCCTATATATATAGATGATCATTATGCATATAGGTCCTTGTTCAATGGGCCAACCACTGTAGCTCTTGCAGCAATGTCCGGCTTCCTGATGATGATGTCATACCTGGCTTGGTACGTCAATAAACCACAGCATGATGAGAGGAAGATCAGAGGTGTCAGCTCTAGACAGTTTCATGGTTAGATCTTACACAAAGGTGCATCTAATTCAAAACACGCATTTCCATGTTGCTCATCTCTCTTTCAGAATCAGAGCCCCCTCCAGCTGAAGTGGGATCAATTGCTTTGGATGATCTCGAAGCCCTTCTTGAATAGTCTTTTCATCTTCGTTCCCTTCATCAAATTGGCAAATTTTTTAAAGTTTTATTTACGCGTCCTTATGAGAATGGAGCTCTGCGCTCTTTGATTAGATCTGAGCGTTCTCGCACCGCTGCCCACTCCTGTTGCTTGGCTTTCACAAATGGCGATACTCGTGGGGACTTTAATCTCGGCCTGTCGCGGAAAGTCAACTGCGACTCGTGCGAAAGATCTAGCAAAATTCACGAGAACAGCGTTGGAAAGTTTTGTGGAATTGTTATTGAAAGTATTTAATTGCGATTCGGGCGTGTTTTATTCCGATGATGAGTTCGACGCGTTGTAATGGTGACATATGGTGTGAAACTCGTTTCTTCGAACTTGCGGATAGCGTCCGAGTTGTGTACGTTATGCTTACGTATGTTTGCCAGACGTGATACTGCTGTGGAAGACGATTAGTTGTATCATGAGAGTGTCTAACGAATGTTCGTCGTTTTCAGGGATTAGTTTTACTCAAAATTCGTGATACCTGTGAGAACTGTGTACCTCATCTCATCCCGGGTTGTTCGCGTTTCATCTCTT